ACCGACACACACACACACCGACACACACACACACCGACACACACACACACCGACACACACACACACCGACACACACACACACACCGACACACACACACACCGACACACACACACACCGACACACACACACACCGACACACACACACACCGACACACACACACACCGACACACACACACACCGACACACACACACACCGACACACACACACACCGACACACACACACACCGACACACACACACACACGACACACCGACACACACACACACCGACACACACACACCGACACACACACACGACACACACACACACACACACACACACACACACACACCGACACACACACACACACACCGACACACACACACACACACCGACACACACACACACCGACACACACCGACACACACACACCGACACACACACACACACCGACACACACACACACACCGACACACACACACACACACACACACACACCGACACACACACACCGACACACACACACACCGACACACACACACACACCGACACACACACACCGACACACACACACCGACACACACACACACACCGACACACACACACACACCGACACACACACACACACACCGACACACACACACACCGACACACACACACACACACCGACACACACACACACACCGACACACACACACACCGACACACACACACACACCGACACACACACACACCGACACACACACACACCGACACACACACACACACACCGACACACACACACACCGACACACACCGACACACACACACACACACCGACACACACACACACACACACGACACACACACACACACACCGACACACACACACACACCGACACACACACACACCGACACACACACACACCGACACACACACACACACCGACACACACACACACACCGACACACACACACACACACCGACACACACACACACACCGACACACACACACACCGACACACACACACACCGACACACACACACACCGACACACACACACACCGACACACACACACACACCCGACACACACACACACCGACACACACACACACCGACACACACACACACCGACACACCGACACACACACACACCGACACACACACACACCGACACACACACACACCGACACACACACACACCGACACACACACACACCGACACACACACACACACACACCGACACACACACACACACACACACACACCGACACACACACACACACACACACCGACACACACACACACACCGACACACACACACACCGACACACACACACACACACACCGACACACACACACACCGACACACACACACACCGACACACACACACACCGACACACACACACACACCGACACACACACACACCGACACACACACACACCGACACACACACACCGACACACACACACACCGACACACACACACACCGACACACACACACACACCGACACACACACACCGACACACACACACACCGACACACACACACCGACACACACACCGACACACACACACACACGACACACACACACACCGACACACACACACACACCGACACACACACCGACACACACACACACACCGACATCATCCCGAAAATAGTCAAAACGGATTCAGGGGACCCCAAAACGTAAAATACGTCGAAAACTGGAGGTCGAAAAAAATCATGATTCCTATACTTTCCTTATCTGCATACAGATAGGAAAGTAAAAAAAACACTTTTAAAATTTCCCCAAATTTGATCTGAAAATTCTATTTTCTAGTCTTTCGAACAACTCAGCGATGACTTTTAAAAAAGGAGTTTGTAGAGAATTTAAAGAGGAATTTAATGATGCAAACCACTTCTAGGTAATTGAAACGATAGTCAAGTTAGAGAGTGTGAGTAAGAGAGTGAAGTGCAGTAAGAGGGATAGAAAGTGCAGTGAGAGTGATGTAAACCACTTCTTCCTATTTAATAGGATAATCAAATTATTTAACAAAAACGCTTGTTTCTGTTAAAATTCCCCCAAATTTGATATTAAAATCCTATTTTCTGGCCATACGGACAACTCAGCGGTGACTTTTAAAAAACCAGTTTGTAGAGCTTTTAAAGAGAAATTCGATGATGCAAACCACTTCTTCCTAGTTTAAAGGTATTAAAAATGAAACTCACTATTAAAAATCAGCTAGAAAATACTAAAAACTTGTCTGCCTTTACCCCTTTTATTGATTATCAGCACAATACTAGCTTTTATAACAATTACAATATCTTTTTCTGACTCTTATATACCCCATTTTGTTTTGTTTGCCTTTTTCCACCTGGTTCTTCTTCTACTAAACTTTGGTCCCTAGTATACCTCCACCTAGACAGTGAATTATTCAATACTTGAGTCATCAGCAGGGTTTTACATCTTATAGTAAGAGACCAATCTTTAAGGTACCAAGTTTTGGAATTTGAACTTTGATTAAGCCATTTTCGCCCATTTTGTTACTAGAGCTCTTCAAGAACACTTGGGAAGTGCTCCCACGAAATTATTTCGGATTTTGCCTAACAACAAAATTGTGTATTAGGAAACATACTTAGTGACTAAGGCGCTTATAGCAGATACTTTTTTCCTAACACAGCCATTTATATACTCACTTTTTGGCCACATTTCGTCAATGGTAAGTGTAACTAAGTCTGCATGATGACCATTGCCTCTCATAAACTTTTTCTATTTTAGGCCATCTACTTTACATCTACTTATACTTTGCTTCAACTTCACCTTTAACTTCCCGCTTTGATGTACTGTTCATCTACTTCCTACTATCGGCATGGACAAATTAAACTGGATTTCCATACTTGCGGTGCATGCTGTACCCCTGCGGTAGGCCCTAACAGAAGTACCCACTGGCCCTTCGGTCACTGAGAAGCCCCACTCTGGACAACCACCATCCGTATATCAAGTAAGATTAAATCATATTTTACTTTCGAGACCATCTATCTGCACCCAGTTGCTTCGTCAGCTTGTTACCAGTAGTGCATGAAGCTTGTGTCCTAGGTTGAGCCTTAGGTGTATAAACATTAACCATTTTTCTAGCAGAGCTTATCTCGTGCCACCACCTGCTTAATAGTAAAGCGAAATAATTATTACATACATACTTGTAAACCAAAACTATACTCTTGGCCTCCATATAACTATTACTTGTATGAACACTTTTTTTTAAGCTTATTATTCAACTATACAACGTCAAATATAATAATATAACCACCAACGAATTGGGTTGTATTAAACCACCACATTTTATTCAAGTTTTTATTTCATTTAACTTTATCCAGCCACTCTCGGCTGAAAACCGGGCATAATATAGTCAAAATTAACCCCTCCGTGTGTAACCTTAGCCCTCCACCACCTTGAGTCGAGGCGCATGTTACAAATTTGGCGCTCAAAGTATAAATCTAAATTTGAAGCCCTCAGGATCGTTTTTTTTTTTGCTGAAATTTAGTTGGACTTAATTTTTTTTGCTGGCTCTAGTGTTAATTTTGTTTAATTGCTTCATTGTTAATGAAATTATTGAACGTGCATTACTTATTACATATAAATTCGGGTTACATTCGACTTACTGGACACACTAAATTTGGCCAATTTCAATTGGTTTTTGATTTATGTAATACTAATTATTGATTTTAACTCACTTTAGGTGCGGAAATACGAAAAAAAAGTATATATTAATTATATATTTTAATTAAATACTTCTTAAAAATACGAAAACAAGCCTTTCCTGCCATTCATTAAATTTAACCTACAAATTATTCTTGACATTGCCATTTTAGATAATGAACGCGGTGTTGCCAAGATTACCTTGATTGTTTCTGCCGTTACCCGCAATATTTAAAAATTAAGTAGTCTGGTATTAAGGTCTATGCCCACTGTACCGTACCATACTATGACCTGATTTTTTTTTGTATAGATTCAAATGAGGATGATGTGGTCGATGCCGGGCCGGTCTAGTGGGCATTGTCTCATTTAAATCTATACGAAGAATATTTTTCTGCCTATGCCGGTACGGTCACGGTCATAGTATGATCCGGTATAGTGGGCATAGACCTTTAGTGGTAATTCTGTAATTCAATACGTTAATTTTTAACGGGTGTTAAATTTTACGATTTTAACATAAATTGTAACGAGAATTTGTTCTACTTTTAGTGCTGATGGCAATAAATTGTCTCTTAGGAAAACCATAACTATTTTTTCTAAATGTTTAGCAATGATTTATGTTTTTTTTTTATAGCATCAATAAGGATTTTTAAAATGTATATTTAATAAATTCACTTATAATTTAAATTTTTTGGAGTAAAAAAAAATATAAAATTCTTACTTAGGTTTTTACGAATTTATATTTTTCAATAGAAAAAGTGGTATTACTAAATAACTGTTGTTTTAATCTCAAAATTTTTTTACTTGTCAATCCTGTTAAATCCCTTCCTACGATCAAATTTCTACCAAAAACTAATCGACATGCAAAAATTAACATGATACTGATATTTGGTGAACATTCGGTAAACATATGTTCAACTCTTTTAATTGATAAGACACATGCATCATTTAGAACACACTTTTCATTTAATAATTCAAATATTCTGTTAGGTAAAATATTTATTTTATCCAGCGAAGTTATTAATACAACTCGATCTGGCACCAAGGTAGCGTTGGTGTACACGGACATCCGAAACTTCTGTTCAGTAGCAAATTTAGTGCTCTATGTGAGCAATTCTAATAAAAAGTACTGATTCAGATGGCAGCACCTCTCAGAGATAAGGCTTTTAAAGAGGGAATTCAAAATAGTGTTATTGTTTAATTGAACTTTTCACTAAATTTATAAAAAAATTATTAGTTTAAAGGTCAATGTATTCAAATATAATTATTAAAGGTATATTCTATAAAATTACATTAATTTTTATAGTTTAAATTAAATGTTTGCGAATAAAATATATATATATTCTTCAATTACGTCATTGCAAGTTCAAAAATTTAAAAAAAATGATGTAAGTTTTTTAACCAAAATTAATTTATTTTATGAAATAATGATCTCTCTTGATATTCTAGTTTCTTTGTTTCATACTTGTAAAAAAGTAAATTTTCCGATTTTTTTTGAGAACAAATGATTCAAACTGGATTAAATTTTGGTAAAATAATACTAAAGGTTGTATATATACCTTCACATTTTTTTTCGAAAATTTTGAACTTGTAGATACTTTTTCCTTAATATACAATTCAAAAAAGCAGAAGAATATAATGAAAAACCAAACACATACAACATAGTAAACTATGAAAAACTTTCTAACATAATTAAAAACGAAGCAATTTAAAATTTATATATTTTTTTTAAAGAAAACCATAAAAATATACAACCAAATTAAATACTTTCTATGTCTTTTAATAAACCAACTAATAAATTATTTTTGTTTGTGCAAGTAGTGGGTTCTAATTTTCCTAAAAACACTTTATACCCAAAACTTTCAATGAAAAATTTTCTATCTGTATCGATAGCATCCATACAAAAATAACCCTGTTTCGTCTTCACGTTTTCATCGTCATGCGTCTGATCCGCGCCGTGAGCAAGATTCAGATAATTATTATAGTCCAAGTCGATCTTTTTGAATTTGTTACTTCTCGGGTACGTCAAATGGTGGCAGTCCCGAACTCCACCGTAACAACACGGACACACCACCAAATGCGCCTTTTTTTCTACACAATTTTGAATAACAAGATCGGTGGCGACCCCGCAAGCATGCAAAGCAACTCCAATATCAAAATCCCCTTGAAAATAATCCAAATTTGACTGCACTATCAGCACATTCGATAGTCCCAATTTTTCTATTCTCTCTTTGGCTCTCATGAGAGATCTTTCTTTATTTTCTACGAGCACAATTTCACAATTTGGCAACAAGGTGGCCAATAAGATCCCCAAGTGTCCGCTACCGCTACAAAAATCCACTATTTTGTAATAGTGATTTTTCGCTATCTTAATCACTGCTTTGGTTAAATTTTTCAATTGTTCGCTTTTCCTGCTGGCTCTTTCCTTAGGTAAAGCTCCTCCTCTTGGATTCGCCTCCAAAGGAACATTCGACCAGCTGAAATAAACATCGTGTCCAAAAGGCACTATTTCGTTAACTATTTCAGTTTTAATTTCTTCTAACTGTTCAAAAGCATGCTCGATATCGTTTTGTTTCGTAAATACGCGTTTTTCTGGTCTATACCGTGAAGGATCCGCTTTGTACAAGCTTTGCTTAACAAAATTCGGTTCTATAATGTCCGTAACTTCGATCAAAGTTTTACCAACCGTAAATTTAGACGACGAAACCAAAGAAATTTCCATTTTGTTGAACCAATTTACCGTCAACGGTAATCTATGTATTAATAGATCGAACGGAGAATTTTTTAACAGCACTTCATAACACTGATATAAAATTACGTCGGACAAAGTCATCGATGATCCTTCACTAAAAGTGTGATGTAAATTTAGCTCATTCATTGGAATTCCAGATATGATAGCTTTGTTGTTATTTTTAACTCTGGCTTCCTTATATACGTTATGCATTCTAACGGGTGTAGACATGTGATATTCGAATCTTGCTAAATCGATTGGTAATTCAAATTTTTTGTTAAAAATGTATCGCTGTCGAAGGACATTCTTTACGGTTTGTATAATGTCGACTTCACAGAAACGAGTCCATATGGAATTTTCCGAACATGCCAGTAAACATGCCTCCCGGAAACCAAGTAAATCCCGGATTTCCTTTTCTGGGCTCATTTTAATAAGACTTCTTGCCACGGAGCAAATACCTGCAGTTACTTGATTGCCAGAAACGATGACAGGTCCGCTGGCCAAGGTTGTTATTTCTGGAAGTGTTGCAGGAATTGTATATTCGTCCTCTTTTAAAGAAATTTCGATGAGTGGTTCTGATGGTTGTCCAGACATTAATTTGACAACTAGATTAACTTTCTGTGTTCTAGCTAGCTTGTATATAAAAAGTACTACTAAAGTCTCGATATTGACCCAAAATAATTTTGATGGACCTTGGAAGGCATAGATGAACAGGTTATTGGTCGCCATCTGAATAAAAAAAAACTGTATTATTATTGACAAAAACAAATAGAACATTAAAGCTTCTTAGTAATTAAGATCAATGATGGTGGGTGAGGTTTTCCATGATGGTGGGTGAGGTTTTCTGGGTTTTCCTCACCTGTAAGTCAAATGGCACCATCAATCATCTTTAAGTCGTCCCGGAGCGCCACAGCAAATAATAATAATAATACTAGCCGTCCCTTTCCCCGCACAAGCTCAGCTTTTGTGGTTAAATTTCATTCGTAAGGGGGTGAATTAAGGAGAGTATTATTATTATTCATAACAGAGGACAATATTAAAACAACGAATCAAAAATTCTAATAAAATAATATTATCTACCTATAATTCATCACCTTACAAGTAAACTCCTGCTGATCTGAATAATTTGTGCTAGATTAGCCATTTTTATTTGCCGTGGCCCTACTGGGCGACTTACAAATGAATGTTAGTGTTTCCCACCCACCATTATCAAAACGATAACACACTATGATTTATAATCTAGATGCCATATCAACAGAAATTAAATTACTGTTGACATGGCACACATCAAATCCTACAATCAACCTTGTAAATATATATAAAAGCGAAATACCATTCACTGACTCATCACGAGATCTCCAAAACTATAAGCTCGACTGACTTGAAATTTAACATAGTTACTCATTACTCGACATAGACACCCACCAAAAGTCCACGGACAAGATTGACGGACTAATCTAAAAAGTTGACTAGTCCAAACGCATGCGCGAAATTGAATTAAATAATTCGTCTGAATTTCTTACAAAGGCAAAATTAAGTTTAGAAAAGAAAAAACAACAAATGTTTACTGACTTTTATAACGTTTTAATTTATGTTTTCGAATTTTCGTTCCATATCTTAATAAACTCGTGAAAAAATTACCAAAAAATACAAAAGTTGGAAGTATTTTATAAATGACGAGTCTAAAAAACGAAAATATGCAAATGGCAATTTGTTCCCAAAGTATTTTTGAAAAAAAATTAATAATTCTCCATTTTTGGCGATCATGGCAGACGAAACAACGGATGTAGCTGCAAAAACTCAACTGGTAGTAATATTTAGATATGTTCGCAATGGTGAGCCAATTGAACGTTTTTGGAACTACTTAATTCCTGAAAAATGTGATACAGAAACACTTAGTAAAACAATTTTAACTGTTATAGATCGTTTAATTCAAAATTCACCGAACAAATTGATTGCACAAAGTTATGATGAAGCCGCGGTGATGAGCGGCCAACACGCAGGAGTTCAAGCATTAATTAAAAAAAAGTATCCTATCGCTCACTATGTACATTGCTATGCCCATCAGTTAAATTTAATTATGTCTAAAGCTGCTTCTGCAAATTCGCAAGTACGTGGATTTTTTGGAAATTTACAAGACATTCCGGGCTTTTTTAATCATTCACCCCAGCCAGTAGAAGTCTTAAACAAGATTGTGAAGAGAAGGACCCCACGGCGCTACAACCCGTTGAAATTTTAATATAAGGTCCATTAATGCTATATACGAAAATAGAACGTCTCTCATTGAGTGTATACATGAAATAGAGGAACAATTCACCAACAACACAGTGTATAAACCGGAACATTGAGATAAAAAGTGCCGACACAGAGTGAGCGATCTGATTCTTTAGCTATAAACTGTGTCATAGGGTTCAAAATGACCGCGCCCTATGTTGGGCGTGTCGGACCTCTCTCTTGCCCCGTATAGTAATCAAAGTATGTGCGCCCAAGTAAAGGGCCCCACTCACCTCGTTCTTCTCCGCCATTTTTAACCGACTGTTAAAAACGTCAGGGTAAAAATGTCACAAAAACGAGGTGTATGGGCAAGAACGTCGTTCCAAAATTTCAGGCGTCTTGATTTTTGACGGTTATCGTGCCAACCGATCGAGTAAACACGAGGTGTGTGTTCTCAACAGTTTGACTGTTTTTGTTGTTTATTATTATTTACAACTGGTTATAATAAAAATGTCGGGTATTAGGCAGTGAGACAGAGCTTTATTATTAGAGTTTATCAAGCTTGGCAGGTTTCGGGTATTATGCGTCCTAGTCGCTGATCTGTATTATTTTACTGGATAGGATATAGGCTATATTTAACATACTAAAAAATCGTTCCAACAAGGAGACCGGAAGTGCTACAATGCTGGCCGATTTGGGCAAATTATGGTGGGTTCACAGAACTGAAATTTGTAATAATTTGACATACCTAACCTATAATTTGATTAGTTTTTCTTCTTATTCTTTTTCTATTCCTTTTGCGGGCGATGTCCTTCGGGAAATTTCACCCATGATTTGATTTTTTATGAAAGAAAATAGAAAAATGGAAACGTGAAGCATATTGTGTCTTCAGGAATGAACGTTTATTGTTTATTTCATACTCTTTTTACTTTGTTTTCCACAATAAAAACATCTCATCGTAGCTTGTTGACACAATTAAATGACAAATGGAAATAGAGGTTACGTTAAATAACATCCGGTCCGCCATATTATTTGCCCAAATCGGCCAATTTTTCGGAACGTTTTTTAGGGGGCTATATCCTATCCAGTAAAATAATACAGATCAGTGGTCCTAGTGCCTGGGGTGAAATAATAACGGAAAACTTCAAATCCTCGTAGCTGTGGCCAGTGGCCAGAAACCGCAAAGTAGCTGTTAGGCGTTCGTGAGGACTGATGCATTCCTGTAAATGGGTATTATGTCTCTCAATTAACGGTGTTATTAGTTTTAACAGTTTCCGATACGTATCCTCATCAATCCTCAAGTAATTTTGCCAATCACCAGGCTCCAATCTTAGCTCCTCCAGAAAATTTGTTTGTGGCAGTGTACTGCGTTTAAATAGCCAGTCTTTAGTACATTTTCTTCGAGATTTTCTTTTTTTCGCGATTTTTCCACTGCTAAAACTGCTGCCACTGCTATATCAGTCAACGTTTTTCCTTCAAACGTTTTTAACCGTCGGTTAAAAACGGCGAAGAAGAACGAGGTGAGTGGGGCCCTTTACAGCAGATTTGATATCTGGTTGAAATAAAATTTATAATTATTTAAAAATCGCGGGAATCACGGAAAATAATTTAAAAATGGAGGAACTTTAAGAAAAGGGTTGATCCAGTTAATTAAAAATAGGAATTAATTTTTAGTTCATTACACTAGTCAACCAGGATTTTGGATTTTTACATTTTAAGGGAGTACACAATGGTGAAATAAAAATAATTAAAAACAAATAAGTGGAACTTCTTACGACCTGGTATGAAAAATATGAGAAGTTAATTAATAAAAATTACATATTTTGATGTACCGAGACCCTGACAGTCTAAGTAAGGACTGTATTTCTCACGGAGTTTTATGTGACCCGTTAGAGAGTCAGTTCCGAATGCAATCTGGTGATATTAGCAAATAAGAGCCATACCAGAAATGTGGTATACAAAAAGTTTCTTAATTAGATTACTATCCTTAACTCTATAATACTATCATATACATACTATGAACCCTAAAAAACGTATTACCCCTTCTTTTTATTTGAGCTGTCATGCACATTTTTTCATTAAAAACAAAACTCCACACGTGTGAAGCCGCGGGCAACAGCTAGTTATTTATAAATTCACATGGTTTGGTGTAGGATCTGAAGTACAGTGTCGCTGAACAGCTAAGAGCCAGTTTTTCAATCACAGTTTAAACTTTCGTTCACCTGAAATTGGATCAAATATAGAATTCAGATTACCATCAATAGCGTTTTTCAAACATGTCAGTATCACAGTTTAGGTGATCTAAGTTTAATTTTTTTTTTTTTTTTTTTTGTAATGGGATGGCATCAGACATGCAAGTCTATTTACCACAGAAAGTTTTAACTTAATAATTTTTGTATATATTATGTTAAATATCTATTTTAGTATTTTGAGTAAATTTAATAATAGCGTCAAAAATTATCTTATCTGATTGAACTAAAAGTGAAGAAATATTGAGTGGAAGTGGGAGTGAAAGTTTATTTAAATCTTGATACAATACGGTGGTATGTTGAGCATTTTTATTACAATCTAAAAATAAATGATTGATATCTGCTACAGCGTTTATATTGCAATATGGACAAAAGGGAGAATCCAATATTCCAATTTTACATAAATGTGCAGGGAATCGGCCGTGATTGAGCTTTAAACGAGTAATTATAGATGACTGATATTTATTATAGTTCCATGAACTGATGTAAGGAATATTCTTAGGAAGATTTGGATGTATACTATAATAGTGACTTTGTGATGCCTTCGCATGCTCAGTGTATTTAATTTCCCATCTACTTCTTCTTATATTGGTAGTTCTGAATCGAGGGACTTCTGACAAAACTGAATGATCTATGTCAGTTTGACGTTTTAAAAACATATTCATTAACAGTAAAGATAAAAAATTGTACGAAATGGAAAAAAAAAATGACGCACCGCCAATTTTCGAGCAACGAAGAATAAATTTTTGGTAAATTTTAATTCCTCTACTTGCTGGTGGCAATTAAGAAGGATACCGATGCAAAAAATCTGATGTGTCCAACTCATGACTTTCCTATCTAGTTATTATAGGCTTTTTCCGGTTATTTTGTACAATCTATTGCAGCACCTCTATAAATGTTTAGAGGATAAACTAAATATATACATTTTCCACATACATCTAACTCGACACATTTTTCTATAATATATATTCCATAAAATATAAAAACGGTCTCCCATAAAGTCCACCCCCCCCCCCCCCCCCCAGATGTTCCGACTTCGTCCAAAATCTAATCATTTCACCTCAGGCCGAAATAAAACTTAAGTTTAAAATTTAATGTTTTTCCTTTATCCGTTTTTGAGTTTTCTTCAAAATTCGAAATTTACACATTTTCTCAAATATCTCGAATATGGTCCATCTTAGAAAAATTATGTGCGGGATAAAAATTATAGAGAATTATATTACAAACAACTTTTATTTGAACAATTTTTTTAAAAAATTAATTTTTTTACATTTTGTCAAATTTCTCGAATACGGGCCATTTTAGAAAAATTTTGTATAGAACAAAAATTATAGACAATAATATTGTAGATAACTTTTATTTGAAAAATTTTCTTCTTCAAACGTAAATAACGGATATATTCCATAAAATACAAGAATGACCATCAATAAAGTACCCCCCAAATGTTCCGACTCTGCCCAAAATCTAATCAGTTCACCGCAGGTCGGAATAAAGCTTAAGTATAAAATTTGGTGTTTTTCTTTGTATCGGTTCATGAATTATGGTGGATACAGACACCCACACACAGACAGACACACACACAGAGACAGCATCCCGAAAATAGTCAAAACGGATTCAGGGGACCCCAAAACGTAAAAATCCGTCGAAAACTGGAGGTCGAAAAAAATCATGATTCCTATACTTTCCTTATATCTGTATACAGATAGGAAAGTAAAAATCGGTAAACAGAACCTGACTTTAGGAGTTAAAGCATTATTTCTAGAAAATAAAATATATGATAATAACAAATATATATCGGTAAGCCCTCCTTCTATTTTTGTTAATTATTATGTTAGCCGTTTTCTTAGACAAACAAAAACTTGCATATTCTCTTGGGTACATGGTACATTAATATGCATTAAATAGGTAGTAATTTCTCCATCGTCTTTACTTATTACTTCAAACATAAAATGTGCAAAAGTTGTGAAATATACTTTTATATTATATCAGTGTCAAAACATTGATTTTAGTTTAAACGCCCAACTTTGATAATTCAATTTTTCTGATAGTTTAAATTAAGTTCCGTGAACTACATTTGAAATACACCATCTTCCAATTAAACTCAGTTCATTTGATGAACCTAAGGGTCAGTTTTATGCAAGATTTCGTTTAAGAAAACGGCTAGCAGAATAATTAACAAAATAGGGATTTATAGATAATTACATTTACAATAACATATATTTTCTAGAAATAATACTTCAATTCCTAAAGTCATGGTTCTGTTAACTGTACAATTTTTTGATTAATTATCCTTCTTAATTACCACCAACAAGTAGAGTACACAAGTACAGCAATTAAAATTTACCAACAATTCCTCTTTGTTGCTCGAAAAATTGGTGGTCTGTCAATTTTTTTTCCATTTCATGCAATTTTTCATCTTCACTGGTAATGTTTTTAAAAACATCAAACTGGCATAGAGCATTCATTTTTGTCAGAAATCCCTCGATTCAGAACTACCAATATGCCTAAATTAATCTTAGAACTGTGATACTGCCATGATTGAAAAACGTTATGGATGGTAATCTCAGTTCTATATTTGAAGTAAACGAAATTTTAAACTGTGATTGAAAAAAACTGGCCCTAAGATCTTGTACAACAATTTGTTGGTGGGATAATTATTAAGTATGCCAACCTTAATGAAGGCAATTTTTTCAATATTTTCTATTCTCTATTTCTATTGATGGTTCCTGGGCGTGAGAGACAAACAGTGAGCAATTACATTTTTCATTCAAATGGAAGGAAATTTATAAGTAATAAATACCTTAAATTAAAATATGTATTTCTTCAAACACAATTGGCAATTTGTCTTTGAACTCTCTGCAAAATCCTTTTTGTTAAAACTTTTCTTCTACATATAACACAAATTGTAGATATTAAACTGGTTGCAAACATAAATCCCTCAAATCGCCAAAACTGTTGTTCATCAATATATGCAGCTCGATCACAACTTCTGGTGACAGTTTCACCGTTTGCACATTTTAAAACTTCTTTGTATTTGGTATGGATACAGACACCTATGTTTTTACTTCGTATTTCAAATGCTAAAATAAGAGTTTCACATTGTTACACAACGGTTTTCAAATTCACTTGGGTTTCTTAATTTTTAAGAGTATTGATTATTTAAATTATTAAATATCATAGGAGTACCATTCTTTCAGGTGCAAACTTAATATATAATGTTTTGTATTTATTTAATTTTTACAGTGGCTACTCAATTCTAAATAAATTTGAAAAATTAGTATATATACTAAAATATAATAGATACATTCCCAATGCCTTTGTTTAAAAACATAAATATTAGATTTCTTTTAAACTTAATGGCCACCATATTTTTTCATGGTCCAAGGAACTTATTTTGTGTATAAGTTAGTTACATTTATAACAAACGTAGCAGTAGTGATTTGAAAGAAACCTCTACCTTAAAAACTCTATTTTATGCTTCTATAAGATCAAAGTTAGAATATGCTTCAGTTGTGTGGAGCCCCTTTCATCAGTATCATATAGATCGAATAGAAGCAATTCAGACGATTTTTAAAACTGCTAAGCCTGAAAACTGATGGCATTTATCCTCTAATAGGTACACCTCACTCTGAATTACTACAAAAGCATAACTTTTTCAATCTCGAAAGAAGGCGTGATTATTATAGTGTAGTAGTAACTTATAAAATTATTAAAAGTATTATTGACTGCCCAACCTTATTAGAAAAGTTTAATATTTGCATTCCCAGAATTTCTTCCAGACACCCGAATACTTTTTATATAAATACGTCTCGCACAAATGTTCTGGAAAATTCTCCGCTCCATACCATGTGTACAGTAACAAATTCTATTGTCAATGAACTTGATATATTTAGTTGCAATTTGTCATATAAAATCTCACTTTTTATCTTAGTTAATTTATTACCTATGTGATTTATTAATAATTATATTCTGTCAATTCCTGCTCTGTAATTGCGTTTATGACCTGTAGAATATTGTATTATAAATAAATAAATAAACAAAAAAAAAATTATGAACCTAGTGTCTAAGCTTATTTCATACTAGCTACTTATCTTGGCATTAAATGAAAAGTTTGCACACAGCCCCCTGCACATTTGACGTTTCAGTCAGGGATTTAGGCTGGATTACTTGTTATTATATTCATTGCAGGCGATTTCAATATTGAATTAAAAGATGAAAACAATATAAAATCTAAATTATTGGCTTTAACAAGCTCTTTTAATCCCCATTGCATAATACAAGAATAACAGCAATACTAGAAGTTGTATAGATAACATTTTTATGAATTTTCAAGATAATTATAAGACTGAAGTAATTGATATTCACACATAAGACCATAATGCAAAAATATTAAAGTCAGCAAACCAATTATTAGTAATGTATATAGAAGATGTTTCAGTGATGAGAGTGTAAATAATGTTATCAGTCTAAGACAAGTGAAATTTATGATTTTGAGGTTTCAGAAATTGATGAACAGTGGAACCTGTTCATTAATTATTTTTGTGCTTTGTTAAACTCCATGAGAAAAAATGCATTTACTTTTAAAATAATATTTTAGAACTAAAAAATACATTACTAATACTATCTGAAAGTAAAAATTCTAAATCAGAAAACTTTAAAAGAAGAATAAGTAACTGATAACAATACTAAATGTATGTGAAGCATATGTAATGAAATCACCAGAAAGGGGAAAATTGTTGTAAAATTGACGGAAACCCACAAAAAATTGCTAATGATTATAACATCAATTGTTTGAGAATTAATTTCAAAAACTAACTATATACTATTTAATTAGAACCCCTTATAATTTAGAGTCCATGTATTTCTCTAGACTCTCCCCAACCAACATTGTAGATTATCTATTTTAGGAAAAAAAAAACAAGAATCATTGTAAACACTCATACAGCTATTCGAATTAGGGTTTGATTCAAAGCCCATTCATACAGAAGCTCTAAGCTTATTACCCTTCACAGTTTCTACCCCATCAGGTTAACATTCAGCTAAAAAAGGGAGATATTAGTCCACTGTACACCATCTACAACTGTGTAGAATTCTCAGTCCGCTTTATTACTCATTCTCTGTGATTCAATGAATGATTTTTATTACCTGAACATGGTTCACAATCTTTAATTACTTGATATTTCCCCGATTCCCAGCAAGTAGAGTTTTGTTCGACAATGAAATTAGATCGTCTATTGGGTCTATTTGCTTCTGTCCAATGAGACTCGATAAATAAGACTAATATAGTTAATCTAAAAAATGAAAACAAATTTATAGATTAAATTTAAGATTAGTATTTCATACTTACATTCCTAGAATAGTTATGCCCAAGACCATACGTTTTTTGGGACATGATTCTATCATTTTTCTGTTGCAATAAGAGACATTGATAATAAATATATATGCTGGAAAGGAAATAATTTGGATAAACGTAATTTAATTACAACCACAGTATAAACCGTATAAACTATGTATAAACTTACAACTTCGCAATTTCTCATTTCCTCCTACGACAATTGACAAATGACACCTGGCACTTGTCAATGTCAATAGGTTATTTCGTTCGTTGTCGGTGCAATGTGCACCAGTGTCAATTACACCACATTAGGTTCTTTCGTTCGCTGTTGGTGCAGGAAGGTGTAGTGGATTTTACACCGGGCCAAACGAAAGGTCTGGTGTGCGTTGGTGTAGTTTATTCCTAAACCAGTGGGACGAACTAATGAACGAGTGGGGTAGAAAGTTAATGTTCATAATTAGGTTCTTTCGTTCGCTATTGGTGCAGTGCTCACCAGTGTATATTACACCAGTTACACCACATTTATTTACCTAGTTTACTTCCTCCTTATGTCCTTATTCCTGATAAACATGTCGAGTATAATTAACTCCTGCTTGATAGCTGGTAGAGAAAATATCTATTAGTGAACACCACATCGCCGATATAAAGGTGTAGTGGATTTTACACCGGCTCTATCAAGCTAGCGGGCACTCTGTGGCGGCACCATACAAGACCTGGTGGGTTTTTTGTAGCTTTTTTGTTACGCTATTTGCGAATTTGTAGCTTTGCCCAGGTCCGAAAAAACAGCGGATCCGCTAGCTTGAATTTCCATAAATTCCATAGTAGCGGCACAGATTCAGACCCAGCTGGTTTTTCGTAACTTTTTTGTAGCTTTTTTGTTACGCTAGTCTCCCTTTTGTAGCTTGTACTGAACCTAAGAAAAGCGCGGATCCGCTAGCTTAGCGGATATTTTTAGCGGCACCAGCTCGGACCAGGCTCATTTTTTGTAACTTTTTTGTAGCTTTTTTGTTACACCTGTCTCCATTTCGATGCGAGGCCTGAACGTGAGTAATAATCGTTTCTCCATCAGCGTGAGAGAAAAGTGCGTTAATTAAAATCAAGTTTTAGCCTCTACAAGTAATATGTGCAACTCGATAGTGTGACTATTTGTTGATAGATGGCACCAGTATTGCATTTCACGAATTATGGCCATCTTCCATCTAATATATTTTTGAGTAATTTAGATATAATCCAAAGAAGTAGAGAGGGTAGAACGATAAGGTACCGTCTGTGCATCCATCACGAGTGTATAGAAATTATGCGTGATTCAGCCTTCCACTCTTACACACGTAAATGACGAGGAGAGGTTGCCCTAAAGCACTGTAAACAAATTCCAGGATCGACTTTATTCAGCGATTATTGCCGCGTTTGAGAATCCACATCCGATGCATTTTTTACATCTCGAGCGTTTTTTTATCCACATCGGACACATCTACTACATCTACATCTGCGTTTGTTTATCCCAGATATACCTGTTCAGATTACATTTTGTACATCTCGATTTCAAATGAGATGTGAATGAGATGTTCGTTCCATGCCAAAAAGTATGTGTTCTGTGAAGCCAAGTTTGTCAGTTTATCCTTTGTTTATGCTAGCATAAATATAAAAGTGATTGGTTTGTTTAATTTTTGTTTAGATTTCAAATTTAGGTTGATTTGTAGTCTCAAAAGTCAAATTTAAAAAGTACCCAGCTAGCACAAAAATATCCCATCTACGTTAATAAGCTGCAATTTTAGGCTCTTTAAGCTCGCATGCAATGTACTGTAAATGTAACCCTATTATCCCTGCAACTACCGAATGTCCGCAACGGCAAGACTTTTATAGCACATCTCGTAGAAGTTATAAAGTGAAGTTCGGAAAACATCACATTAGCACTTTTACGGTACTTACCCCGAAAGTTGCTCTGAAACTTTCTATAGATGTTATAATGTGAATTCCTTCTACAGCATTATACAGTGTGTCCACGGATGGACTTAACAATACTTGTAAAAATATTTATTTTAAATTTTAAAGTACTTCTTCATAATTTCTTTTGCTTGTTAAATAAATACGATTAACGTTGAGAAATTATGAAAAATACCTCTTTTGAAAAATTTAAAATAAATATCTTTACAAGTATAGTTATGTCCATCCTTGGATACACTATATTTAAAATAGTATATTAAGGATATAGTAAAATCTGAAGAAAACAAAATAAAAAAATTGTATAAATTTATTATTAAAAAGCTATTGAAATCAAATACCAATATCATACAAGAAGAGGTAGGTAATAATACAGGTAATGCAATTACACATGTGTGATACCATAAGGTAGCTATAAAACACTGACAAATTGGACAAAAGTAGGTATAGAGGGTATATAAGGAATATCTCAAAAGTTCACTAGAATCAAAAACATTGAACGCTTGCACGAAAGAGTATAATAAGGTACCTATATTGCAAAGGTTCACTAGTAGCTAAAATGGTACAAAAGTAATAAAAAAAAGTGTATTTATATAAGGTATATTTCAAAGGTCACTAGATTTTTATTAAAATGGCAGTTGTACGATGCTAAAAAAATATATTTGCCTACAACTGGTACTAATCATAGTTTTAATACGATATAACTTGATTAAACTGAATATTGATAAATGTAAAGTTATAAGGTTTAATAAAACAGCTAATATCATTATGCATGATTATGTCACTGCAGGTTCTGAACTATATGATCTTGGTGATATTTTTGACAGGGGCCTATCGTTTATTCCTAATTTTATTAGATTCCTTGTTCCTGCCAGACTTACTAGGCAGATTAAACTATTTTATGTAAATACTCATAGAACTAACTGTGGACAGAATTTATTTGTAGACCGACTGATGTCCAATTACAATAAGTATTTTTCAAATTATGACATTTTAGTAGGTTTTTTTTAAGCGTCGACTTTCATTATACTATTGACTTCAATTTTATACTATGACAATTTTATTAATTTCTTTATTATTTTATTTTAATTGATATTTTAAATGTACCATTTAGAACTTTATGTATCTGTAGCGTACTGTAAACAAATAGATAGATAAATAAATAAATAATGTGAACTTAATTATGTAGTTTCTTCCTAAAAATAACCTTGTAGATAATAAATTTACTTGTTTATTATTAAAGAAAATAATATGTATAAAGAAAATGAAAAATATGCTCGTTTAAATCGTTGCACTTATTTTTAGTTGATTTTTACTTACTTTGTTTTCCTAAATAAATAATAACCTTTATTTTGATTTTTACAAATTTGATACTTAATAATGGATGTTCAACTTATACAGAACAATGTTGTTAGCATGATATTCTGCTATGAAAGAAAAAGAAATAATTTCAGATGTTATATATTCTTCTTCAACCAATTCTGTATTGTTAACTTTAGCTTCTAAAATTCCTGACATTTTTACTAGAATTATAATCCACCACAAAGAAAACCTACAACGCAATATTTTTAAAATTTATTTTTAGTGATTAAAATATTATTACACTAGGGCGACCATACTTACAGCAATTTTGCTGTATTGTAAAGCATTTTTAAAGTTTGTCCAGCAATTGGTATTGTGCAGCAAACGTACAGCGAAATGGCATAGGTATATGTCCAGTGAAATGCTGTATTTATCCACCAAAACGTCACTACTGTCCAGCAATGGTAATACTTAATTTACTGAAATGTAACAAATTTAAATGTTATTTATCTTTAGTGAACTACATGAGCACTTCTAACTGCCCTCCTAGCAAGAAAGGTTTTATCTGCAAAATTATCAGTTTTTTTATTTATGTGCATTTGTCTACATTTTATCTTTCTTAATACTGAAATGGAATGTCTTATTTGCATCAAAGGTACTAAAATGTTAAAAAGTTACACAAAAAAGGTTTAAAAGATAATAAATATATTTGCTAAAAATAGTTAAAAACTCGATTATTTCAAAACAACAAATTTTCAGATAGGACCTCTCTGTCTAGGATGGCAGTATATGACTTCTTTGTTTTTGTATTTTTATAGTAGTATAGGAGTAGGGCTAAGAGTATCAGTCAAAGGTATTGATACTGGTATCATGTGAAATACTTTGTGTTACAGGCATCGATACTGTTCGATATTATGTTAAAGATATCGATATTTATAAGTATCAAAGTATTGAACAAATAAAAGATTTTTTTTAAACGGCTGACAACCCCCATTCAACAGGATGGAGTGGGGAACTTAACCAAAAACAAGTGTACATCAGTAGAGTATATTCTGTAGTTGACACCTTTTCTTTCTCTACTGGTACTCTACCTGGTACAAGTTATAGTGTCAATAACTGGCAATTTAACTTATAATTAAATAACAAAAAAAAACAGTGGTAAGGCTTAATCATATTACCAAGTTTCACCACATGCGAAAACTAAAATATTTGAACAAACCTTATTATTCCTGACCACACACATAGCGATACGATACTTGCTTCTAAGTATGGATATGGCGATAGTATTGGTAATTCAGTATCAGTGCCTAAATATGGATACTTTCATTGTTTAATATCGATACTTCTATAGTATTGAGACATCAATAAGATCCCTATTATCGTGTAAAATATAGGCAGTCATTTAATATTGCAATCTAAAAGAACAGACAATAAATTAGAAAATATGTTTCTATTTTATTGAAAAGAAGAAAAGAACTTACCAAACTTATTCAAAGGTATAGTTTACAATTTCTTTAAAATCTCAAATAAATACAAGAAAATGTGACAAGTGACATTTTTTTATGTTTTGTTGGTTATAACAAACGAATGGGTACGTTCGAAAACAAAATGATGTATATAGTACATCTCGTGGATACTTTTTTAGCAAGTTACTTTATTACGTTGGGTTATCATAACAGGCAGGTTAAATACGTAAGTAACAAATAGATGTTTCGCGAGGTTTTGATTTCTCTCAACAACTTCTCATGTACGTTGCAATTACGTTATATGATAATGTTATTACGTTCCCTTAAAACAACATCGCCGAAAGGCTTGGCAACGTTATGTGCTAGCTGGGTATAAAACTTCTAACTTGTCTGTGACATTTTATCACGTGACCAATAAAGTCTAGAGCGTTTTTTTATTACATCTACATTCAGATCTAATTTTCTATCACGTGATAAAAAATTCATAACATCTCAGATGC